AAAAAAAAAAAAAAGATGAGATTTGAGTGGGGATGCAGCAAAACCATATCACTAGCAAGGTGGGATAGAAAATAGAGCTATCACTTCATTGTGTAGATGGGGAACAGGGCTCAAAGAGGTTATATCAGACTGTCCAATATAATACAAGCCACATATGTGATTTTATTTTAAGGTAAAGAGAAACAGGTAAAATTCATCTTAATAATATAAATCTTATTTAAATCAGTATATCTCAAATATTATTTTAACATGTAACCAACACTATAAAAGTATTAATGAGTTTTTTCATATTCTTTTCATCCGAAGTCTTGGAAATCTGGTATGTATCTCACACTCACAGCACGTCAGTTCACACCAGTCGCATTTTAAATGTGGAGTCATCACCGGTGGCCAGTGGCTGCCGTCCTGGGCAACACACAGTTAACGGTTAAACACTGCATCTCAGGTCACACAGCAGGTTAAGGAGAGCAGAAATGAGAGTGAGGGTTTGCAATTTCTGACGCCCTATCCTTTGCATGCATCACCTGCTTTTTGAGTGTTCCTGCCTGCCTGGAGGCAGTATATTGTGGTGGAGAGGGGTGTGGACTGTGGCCTAGGATGGAGATTCACATCTCGGCAGTGCCGCTCCATAGCCATGGGACCTTGAGCAAGCTCCCTGCCTGCACTCCAGTTGTACATGTGTAAAATGGTGATGACAATGAGGCCTGCCATATGAGGTTGAGGTGAAGAGTAAATTCATTTTATTAATAAATTAGTTCAATACCACACCTGGCATAGTCAAGCCCTCAGTAAATATTTAAGGGGCTCCCCTTTTATAGGATGCCTGCCTGTGCTGTAAAGGCCCATCTGCTGCTGGAAGGAGGAGCCACTTGGGCAGCTTGTGGGTTGACTAAGGGCTTTTTCCTTCAGCCCACTTCCCATGAGCTTGTACTTCTGGGGACCAAGAGGGGGAATGGAGGTTGCTGCTGGAATGTTTGGATTTGAGGGTTTGGAGTTTTCCAGTGGAGCCAGACAAGGATGCAGCCAACTCTCTGATAGATTTTCACACAGCAAACGCTGGTTGGCCCCTACCAGGTGCCAGCCTTGTGCAAGATACCCTGGGGGACGCCGGCAGTCAGCAGCATGGCGTTTCCTCGCTTAGCACGGTGCCAGGCGGACTTCCTGTGCCTGTGGGTACTGCATGATTTTTCGTCTCTGTGTGCTTGCTGACGTTGTTTTATCCTCCCAGGTGCCTTTCCCTCCCCCAAACTTCCCCTTGTCCAAACCTTAAATGCCACCTCCCCTGAGTCTCATTCCTTGACCCTTGCCCCAGCCACCCTCCTCACCCCAAAACCTGGAAACAGACACAGTCTTTTCAGATTCCTGTAATACTCTGTCTGTGTACCTCCCAGGGTCCCTTATGCCCCCTCTGTCCTGAGGGGGCTGTCCCTGAAGGACTCTGATTTACCTTGAGATTCTTCTAGCATCTGCTTCACAGCTGGCACGTGATGAACAGACTCATGAGAGAATGAATGAATGGAGTTAATCTTATCTCCTAGTTTAACTGAAAGGACAGAGACGGTGACTTCTTCTGTAAACACCACAGCAGAACAAACATCCATGCCGGGCCTACTGAGTAATAATCGTCAAAGGAGCATGTTCAAAAACACAGTCCTAGGCTCCCTCCCACAGGGATTATTTCAGCAGGTCTGAGGTGGGGCCCAGCAAGCTGTATGTTTTTCATCTCTCTAAGAGATTCTACAACATAGACAGGCTTGGAGAGACCCAATTTGGACAATTTAACTAGTGGGAAGACTAATATGTACATATTTATGATGCAGGGCCCATGTGGACAAAGTACTGTGATTTCATTCACAAGTATTCTTAGGTATTAATTGTGTAAAGGAACTTCAGGTCCCATTTGGTTAAAAGGTAGCTCTTATGCAGGGAAGTTGTAGGCAAGAAGGGCCTTGGATTCCCTGGAAGACACTTGGGCTGCGTTCAGGGAGCAGCATGGAACACCATCATGGGGGGAATGGTGTTATCAGGCTGCATGAGAGCACACGGCCAGGACATCTGCACCTTCACACCATGTTCTTCTCTTGACAGGTCTCCCGTGATGGCTGGTGGACTGTTTGCTGTGGATCGGAAGTGGTTCTGGGAGCTGGGCGGTTATGACCCTGGCTTGGAGATCTGGGGAGGGGAGCAATATGAAATCTCATTCAAGGTGAGCCAGCCCTCCAGATGCCCCCTTCTTGGCACAGCTTCCTGGGTGCCTGTCTCAGAATGTGCCTGAGCTTCTGCCTGAGCTTGGAAAGACTGAAGGCCTCAGGGTTCTGTAGCCCCTCTGCCCATCGGGTGAAGAAGACAGGGGTCATGGGCCATTCCTTGTTGTATGAGAGGTGTGGGAGGTCAAGGGAATACCCTCCAGCAGCCAAAGGATGGTCTTCACCACAGCTCTGTCATTTGCCTTGTGTCTTCTTAAGACGTTGGAATAAGGTCTTGCTTCTTCTAAAGATGGTGGGTCTGAGATTGAGATGTCCAGCAAATCAGCAGTGGGCCGGAGAAGCTAGGAAGGCCAAACAGGACATGTAGGCCTAGAGGAGTGCTCTCAGTCACTTCTCAAGTTTTCCCTTTTGTATCTGTTGCTCTAGGAGTTTGACAAAGACCAGTGAACACAAGCTCCATTTGTAAAGTCACAAAGGCCTGGATTCAGATCCCATCCCCATCATCAGTAGCTATCTGACTTTGGGCAAGTTAGATGACGTCCCTGAGCTTTCTTTCCTCATCTGAAATCAGGGAATCATAATACTACCTAGCTTACAGAGTTATCGTGAAGATTAAATGAGATAATGTCTAGAAAGTGCTTAACACACAACCTGGGAATGTGACCAGCAATTAATAATTGGTAGAAATTGTTAAAGTTTCAGTGAGTAAATATTTACCGTAACCTACTTGACCAACTCACGGGCTTGAGAAGCTTTCTGACAGGAGTGGTAAAGGAGTTACTAGTTTACTAGTTTTAATTGATCCTTATCAATTAAAAACTTTTAGCAAATTTTAACTGTGATTATTCTATTTTTGTCACTTATTTAGAATTATTATTCTAAATTCTTCTCTAAAGGCATTTACAATAAACTCTAGTCCAGCATTGCCTTTCATAAAGACTCTAATAAATATAAGTATAAAAAACAATACAATTAAAAATATACAAACATATATTCCAGTGTTATTAAAGATCATATTTTTCCAATCTACAACAGATTTTATTACTAAGTATATATTACTATATAGAATCTATAACATTCTCATAATAATCGTATTAAAATATTATATTAAATACAAAAATAGACACCATCCCAAAAAAAACCCCACATCATAATAATGAGAACTAAATTCAATCCAAAACGTACTTTCCAAGAAAAGGCTAAAAAAACACACTGGACCTGATACAGCTACAACTAAAAATTACCAGCCACCAACCTTCCTAAACAAGAGACCTCCTAATTACAGAAGACAATCAACATTAGTCTTATCAACACAAGCAGACAATTACTTTATGACCAAAAACTTTATGAGACGAAGTAGCAAATGTAAGAGACCACGTTTGCCCATTTCCCTTTGCCAGGAGAATTTCACAAAGCCCCTGACTTTGTGACACCATGCAGCTCTCTGGAAAGATGTTTTAAAGGCAAAATAGGATAGAATGCCATGTCTCTCGCCTGAGTCACTACATTGCATCAAAGATAAATGACACTAGTCCTTGCCTTTCTCTACTCATAACATTTGACAAGATTAGTAACTATGCTTCTGTAATCTATAACCAGATGTACTCTAACACCCAAACCTTAATGTAATTTTACATGTACTAAATCTTCACCACCCATGTATAAACTAAAATACTACATTGGAGGAGTTTGAGAGAACCTTTCTAAAAGCCTCTTCCCAGGCTACAGGCCTTGGTCTATAGTCCTCGATAAGACTTCTAAATAAAACCAACTTTAATCCTTTAAAAGCTTCATTTTTTTTCTTTAGTTGACAGCAGTTAATAAATATTGGCTGAATACTCCAAGCAAGTGTATCCCTGGCCAGAATCAGCCTCCAAGCTCCTAACTGGTTCCTTGGTCTAGAAGACCCCCTTCAGAAAACCCCTCTATGGAGAACAGTGAATGGAGGAAGATTTTCACAAAGGAATTTCTAAAGCAACCCAAAATGATTTCATTCTGTGTGTTTCAAAGACCCATCTACTGATGCTTATCAGGCAATTATGGCAGAACAAATGGCATTTTTCTCCACACAGTTATTTACAATAGACTTGGTAATGAAGCCATATTTGAAGTCTCTCATCTGGGAAGGGAAAGGAGGCTGGCTTACATTTCCATTTGATCCAATTATGTCCGCCACTCTCCAGAGGAAATGAGACGGTGTAATGAGGAGGCTCCTGAGGTTTTCTCCCTCAGCTTTCTCTCTCCTGGCTTGGAGAAGGAGAGTTCCTGGAGCCCAGCAACAGCCCATCTGCCAGGGCAGTGTCTCCCAAGCCCCCATGGAAAGGCTGCCTGCAGGGCGGAGGGGAGCGGGCAAGCCCAATCACCCCTGGCAGCTCCCTGCTGGAATGCGGTGTTCTCTTTCAGCCAGAGCCAGGCATTTACAAAGGACCAAATTCCCTCTGATTCATCTCTGCAAAGATCCCTTTTCTTGGTGACAGAGAGAAGAGCCCAGTCTGAAAGGCATGAGCGTATTTTCAGAAATTAAGATCGATTGACATGTACTGTCAGGACTGAGGGCTGAGGGCTGATTCCAGACTAGACTGTCTATCCCGATGAGAAAACCCCCCAAAAAGTGTTCCAACAGCTCTGAAATTTCTGGAAGAGCCATTGACTTTCCCTTTCCCTACCTCCTTTTCTCTCTGTCTCTCTCAGCAGAGCAAAGATCTCATGTGGAAATCAGAATCTTCCCAGTTCTAGTGGTTGGACAAGTCTTTAACTCCATAGCCTAGGCTCCAACTAGCTTCATGAGCTGGCCCTGCTGATCTCTCCTTCCCCCTTTTCCTCTTATCCATTGCATTCGTCTGGATTCTTGCTTACAGATACCCAAAACCATAGTCAATCTGATTTAAGCAAAAACCAGAATTGATAGGCTCACACCATTGAAATTCCAGGGTAGACCCTAAGGCCGGGCCAGATGCAGGGACTGACCCATCTCACTCAGGCTAGGTCTCTCTCAATGCCTAGGCCCTACTTGTATCTGAGTGGGCTTCCCTTCAGGTGGGCTTTTTCTCATGGAGATCTTCAGCAGCCCATGGAAAGAGAGTCCCTCTTCCCATCGTCTCATATAAGTCCTCAGGTTGAGTCTCATTGGCCTGCTGGTCCCATCCCTAAACAACACTGCAATTGGTCACCTGCAGTCACATGCCCATCCTGGAGCCAGGAAGATGGGGATGGGCTAGTTACCCAAAGGAAGGTCCAGGTGCTGTGCCCAGAAGGGAGAATGGATGTGGGGTAGGGCAAACCACAGATGTCTACCTTAACTGGCAAGACAAGACTGCATGTAAGACCCAGGCTTATGGGCCAGCCCCCATCTGCAGGCCCACACTGTCCACGCCTGAAATGCCTTTCCTTAGTCTGGCCAACCCACACTCATCCTTCCAATCTCATCTCATGTAGGTGGCTCCCCTTGCTGCCTGGGAACTGCCCCACGTTGCACTCCCATAACATGCTCCCTGGAGGCAGGAAGAAGGTTTTGTTCACCTCTCAGTCCCCAGCCTCTGGCCCACATCAGTGTTTTCAGTAACTGTTAGTGTATTACCGGCATCACTCCAACTGATAAACCTCCTTGGCACTGCCCTTCCCAGACTTAAGAGGCCATCTTTGGACAATGGCGTATGGTGGGAAAGATGCTGAGCAAGGAGGCTCTCCTTCCGTCTAGGACCCTGGGCCAGTTGTGTGACCTCCAGGCCTCACATCCCAGACGGCCCTGATACAGTTTTCCTTCCTACCCCACAAGATAGGATAAAATGAGATGCTGTGGGGAAAGGCCTCTGACATACACAGATATGAGAGGTTGTTTGGATTAGGGGTGGTGGCAGCAGTATGAGCAGAAAGGAAACTGCACAGTGTCCCCAGGAGGCCACGGTTAGGATATCTCCAAATATGAGATACAGGAGAGAGAGTATCCAAGCAGGACAATGTGACCAAACTAGGTGAGAAAAATGTAGGCTTTGGGGCAATGTAAGTGGCTGTATCTTTTGTGAGTAGCAATTTAGCAAAATCCATTACATTTCAGAACAAGTACATTCTTTGACCTGAAATTCCATGCCCAGGAGTTTATATAAGAGAGACAGTGATGAGCAAATATTTATTTGCTGAAGTGTTACTTACCATAGCAGAAGACTGAAAATGACCCAAATGCATGTCCTTTGGGGATATATAAGTTAGAGCATATCTAAACAATAAAATATTACATAAAATAAGTTAGAGATGTCAAAAAAACAATTTTTTGGGGGCAGGATCTCACACTGTTGCCCAGATTGGAGGGCAGTGACATAATCAGAGCTCACTACAGCCGAAACACCCCAGGGTTCAAGCAGTCCTCCCATTTCAGCCTCCCAAGTAGCTGGGACTATAGGTGCACACCACCACTCCCAGCTAATTTTTTAGTATTTTGTAATGACATGGTCTCTATATGTTGCCCAGGCTGGTCTCGAACTCCTGGCCTCAAGCAGTCTTCCTGCGTCGGCCTCCCAAAATGCTGAGATTACAGGTATGAGCCACTGCACCCAGCCTATCTCACTTCTGAAAATGACTCACAATGACATTAAGCCTTCCTGTCCCTAGTGGCCATTAGGGTGGGAGGGCTTCAAAGTATAGTTGTCTCTTTTTACCTAATGTGTGTCTGTAACATTGAATGTGTTCATCATAAGTACATATTACTTTTGGCTGGGTGCGGTGGTTCACACCTGTAATCCCATCGCTTTGAGAGGCCAAGGCGGGTGGATCACCTGAGACCAGGAGTTCAAGACTAGCCGGCCAACGTGGCAAAACCCCATCGCTACTAAAAAAAAAAAATTGCCAGGCGTGGTGGCACATGCCTGTAATCCCAGCTACTCAGGAGGCTGAGGAAGGAAAATCACTTGAACCCAAGAGGTAGAGGTTGCAGTGAGACAAGATCGCACCACTGCACCCCAGCCTGTGCAACAGCAGCGAGACTAGTCACTGCCAGGCATAAGCC